GAGAAATAAAGATACTCACTGTGCCCAGTCAGATACATAGGATCACTGACATCATATCTCTATGGCTAGATAATCTTTTGACTTGACATTCAGCAATCCAATAAATTCTACCATGCTTCTGCTACCACTTCCAATGTTAAATGAAGCGAAGTACTTCATAATGAAAACAAATAAACATTAAATCCATTTTCACTTTTGCTGCAATTACTAGATAAGACCACATAAACTGCCACTGTATGAGAACTGGCACATAGAATATGTGCCCTGTAGAACTTGGAATGACAATATTAGAAAGACTTTCCAAAAGGGTATTGTCAACATGATAACCTCCTAAGATTTTCAAATAATCCTCCAGAAGTTTGTGACAGAACGAAAGGAAAAAAAGAAGGTTAAGTAAAAAAGAGAAAACTTCTTAAAAAAAAAAAATAAAAAAAGAAAAAAAGAATTACCGTCTTTTGTGATGAATTCGATCGAAAACTATCCATAATCTTTCTAGAAAAACTCGATGTAAGAGAAGCAGAAGTACTCTTTCCAGATGTGATCCGCAAGCTTGGCTTCAAGAATTCTTGACGCTCGTACTTTGACCTAAATGAAAAGTTAATGCATCAATAGTTGTCCTAATAACTAATGTAGGTCTTTCAGAATATTTGTTGCACAGTCGAATAAAATTTTGACATAAAACAACCCCAAATTTAAACAGTAAAAGGACTAAGACCCTAATTGCATATGTGCAATCAACACCATTGGATGACAGATTATGAGCCCAAGTTGGACAAACACAACATATTTGACAGCTTATGTGAATTACACAGGGAAAGATATCTAGCATAAGATATTTCAAACCATAATGCCTTGAATAGTTTTTCAAAGGAATAGAAGAATGATGATTTTAGTGCTCCCAGAGGATCTGTCCACAACATATACACGCCATCATAGAGGTTTTGAGTGTCTTCTTCTCAGGGATTTTAATGTTCCTTTCAGTCATTTAGTAGCGGGCTACTACCCATGACCCTCCCCCCCCTCTCAAAAAAATATCCCCACATGGGGTAACAGTCCATGATAATAGGGGTAGATGGATTGAAGACCTCTATGGAGCTTCTAGGGCTCATAACTCACTTCATGCTGATTATATGGGAATCTATGAAGGTCTTAACCTTGCGAAAGCCAAAAAAATGACCAGAATCATTTTCGAAACAAATGCTCTGGAAGTCATAAACCTTATCAAGAAAAACTACTCTGATCATCATCCGCTCAAATATCTGCTGGAAGAATGATGACAAAGCTTGTCAAATTTTGAAGTGGAGATTATCCACACTAGACACAGGGAACAAATTTGCAGATGCCTGACAATCTTAGGTCTTAAAATGGTAGGGAAAAGGAGCACCTGTGTCACTCTGCCATAATATTGTCAACATCCTTGTTGACAATACCATTGTAACTTATTGGGATTTCCTTTTCTCTAAAAAAAGAGACTAAAAATTTTGTCAACCTTATGAATCTTGTACGATCCTCATGGCTAGCATCTGGTCCAGGCTTGTTAACTCCTTCAGGTATAAATGCCTCGTATATTGAATTAGCAGAGGAGTTTCCTCCAACTTCAATCATGGCATCAATTTCATCATCAGACCAATCATCCAATGTCACAGATAAAACCTGGACCAAACGTTATGCTTTTATGAGAAAAAAGTGTCTAATCCATGAGACAAAGTAAAGAAAGCGTAAACAGAACCCAGAGAACAAATGTATAGGTTATAATGACAGAACAACTGACATCCATGTAAAAAATGATCATAAGAATAAATATGGACAAAATGATTTAAACAATTTCACGGACCCATGAAGCTCTGTGGCATAAAAGCATTTGAACTGAAAAAGAAAAAGAATCTTCTAATGCAAAGATAAAAGAAATGAGAAATTTACAAAAAAAAAAAAAAGAAAAAAACTAATTGAACATAAAATAAGAGAGAGTTGATTGTTCATAGGCAAAGACATCAAGTTGGTCTCAGTATTACCAAACAATAGCAGTATACTGCAACAAGACCGTGAAGTTTCATTTAAAAATTAAAACCCTGATACTTTTTATACAAAATTTCATTAAATTACCATATAAATAGAAAATTTAAAAACTCAACCAGTTGCTACTTCGACAAACAGATGAATGTTCTAATAGATTAAGCTCCAGATAAATAATTTGACATTACTCTAGACAACCAAAAGGCTATTAAGAATTCAAGGAAGCAAATAAACAGCAGCTGAATTCACACATTATGTTTTCTTTAGACAGTTAGAATATGCTGTAGCTGATACAGAATTATTTACTCTATATGCCCTCAGTTACAGTTAATATCTATACTGCTGATCATATACTGGTCATAGATATGAAAATAGTATCACTTTTGCTACTATATAAATTGCAAATACTTCAAATGTAATATTACAGCTAAGTTTTTCTAGCACCACTATCCTGTTAAACTACAAATCTGTTATTTGATAATTCTATATCTTGATTTCATTAGTTACCAGAAAACTATATATATATATACGAGTTGTGATCCAACAAGTTAAAGACGGATCTTATTCTATTAAGACTCCTAGGAAAAAAAGGGATTTACACTTACTTTATGAGATTTTAATATCAAATCTAGATCCTGGTTATTTAGCTCCTACAATCTAGGAAACAAATCTTCTCCTACAATCTAGGAGAGAAATCTTCTCCTATAATCTAGGAAACAAATCTTCCAAGAGTTAGCTCTTTTTAGGACTTCTACACTCTCCTCAAGCTACACATAGATGTTAACCATACCAAACTTGGAACTCAGATCTCCAAGTTCTTTTTTACTAACGATTTTGTCATAATGTCAGTAGTATGTTGACATATAGGAATGTGTATCACATGAATCATCTGTTGTTATATTTTCTCTTTTATGAAGTGTCTGTCTACTTCAACATGTTCCGTGATCATGATGAACTAGATTCTTTGCAATACTTATTGATGATAGGTTGTCAGTTGGAGTGGAATTTTCACCTCATAATTGTTTTAGGATATGCTCAATCCAAATACCTTCACAAATTTCGAGAGCCATAGTCCTGAACTTGGCTTTTGTACTACTTTTAGAAACAATGGATTGTTTCTTACATCGTCATGTTACTTAGTTTCCCCATACATATGAGCAGTTCCTAAATGTTGATCTCCTGCCCATTACTAACCCTGCCTGATCAACATCTGTGAATAATTTCACGTCCCTCCATGAGCTCTTCTTGAAGTATAATCGCTTACTGGAGTCATCTTTTGGTATCTCAGGATCCCATTAATAGCACCAAAATGTTCCTTAGTGGGATGATTCATAAACCGACTCACTACACTAATCTCTGATATTGCACTCGACTCTTACTTTACTTAGGTGATGAACATTGCTCTATATCCTCTTGAGTTTTCCTCTTCCTTGGGTATACCATGAACTCTCCATTCTTGGTTAGTCGTGGGCTTACCAGTTGTTGGCAATTTTTATGGGGTTCAATCTCACTATCTCCACTATCTTTCAAGGTGTTGGGGTTACCATCACTGTTTTACAACTAGTTGAGGATAGATTATGGTTCCATAGCTTGATTGTTTCCATTGTTTGACGTTAAAGTTGATTGTTTTCTCCTATTTGATCCCAAATATGGGATCCTTGTTGCTCTCTCTCCCATTGAATTCCAAGTTTGAGGTAGAATTATTTGGTTTTAGAGAATGTCACATCCATAATGGTATAAAATCGTTTGTTGCTTGCGGAATAACACTTGTATCTTATTTGGTTTTGAGTGCATCCAAGGAAGAAATATTTTACTACGAGTTTATTGTGGCATTGTGAGTGAATATGACAAATGCAATATACCTAGATGTTTTTAGAGGAATTGATGAAATGGTTTGGTTTTGAAGATATGTTACGAGTAGTTTTTGGCTTGGTGTTAGAATGTTTAATATTCTTGAGGGTATTCCATTGATAAGGGAAGTGGCAGTGACTATGACTTCCTTCGGAAATAGTATGGAACATGAGTAGCAAATAAGAGTGATCTAGCAAACTCTAAGATGTGACAATTCTTTCTTTCTGCAATATTGTTTTGTTGGGGTGTATTGACGCATGAACTCCAATACATAATGCCTTGTGTTTCTAAATATCTTCCAAGGGTTTTGGGTAAAGTACTCCTTGACATTATTACTTCTAAGTATCTGAAATTTTCTAAAAAATTGGATTTGAATCATTGTGTTGAACTTTTGAAATATCTCTCCAACTTTAAATTTTTCTTTCATAAGATATACTCATGTGATCCTAGAGTGCTCATCAATATAGACAAACCATCTTGCTCTCGTAATATCTTTTACCCTGAATGGTCCCCATACATCACTATAAATTAATGAGAATATACTTGACTCTCTATAAGGTTGAGGTCGATAAGAATTACGAGAATGTTTGGCAAATTAGCATATTTCACATTGGAAATTCTTAAAATCTATATTGATGACTAACAAGGGAATAAGTTTTTGTAGATAATGAAGGTTGAGGTGTCTTAGTCTATAGTGCCACAACATAATTGCATCTTCTTGCCTTTACTAAGAGGTAAACCCAGGTGGTTGTTCCTAGATGGTTGCTTTTGAGGATACAGAGTCTATATCACACCTTAGCAGTATCAATCGTCCTCTCTGAACTTAGTTCCTGATATTCAGACAGGCTTGAATCAAATTTAGCAACATAATTTAGCTCGTGAGTGAATTTACTAACAGATAGTAGGTTGCAATTTACTCTAGGAACAAAAAATGTTGTATTTAAGGTTATATCCCTAGTTAGCGGTAGAGAACCCTCTCCAAAAACTCAAGCTAAAGTCTCATTTGCAACTTTTACAAACATGTTCTCATGCTAGGGATTATAAGTAGCGAAGATTCTACAATCACCAGTCATGTGGTTTGAAGCACCACAATCCATGATCCAATGTTGTCCAATTTTTGCCTTAGAAGTTATAGCATTTACAGAGTTACTTAAGTGAGCCATTGACCTAGTGCCGTCCAGTAGGCTGTTTGTTTGATAAGCATTGATTAATTTTTGCAAAAGCTACATTTGCTCCTTACTAAACAACATTATTTCTGTTGGAGTGGAGTCTTCCCTTACAGCTAGATTTCCTTTTGCTTTACTGTTCGGATTCCTTGATCGTCTCAATCTACTGGTTTCCATGGCGTTGCCAGCAGATTTTCGTTGAATGCTTTGGTTTCCAACAATGATCACATCTAGGTCTTCCTTTCTTCTGTTTTGTCTTTCTCTGGCTTATCCGAATGTTTTGGACAGCAAGTGCAAACTTTCAGGTGTTTGCAGCGGATTGAGGTTCCTAAGCATGACTTTCTCTCTGCTTTCCTCCATGCATACCTTGGAGGACACATCGTAGACAGTAGGTATTGGTTTCGAACCTAGAATCCTCCCTCAAACATCATCAAGTTCCTTGATGAGTCTGAGCAAGAGCTTGTAGAGCCTTTTTCTTTCCACAAATTGTTCGTACCTCAAGTTATCTTCATGACGCTTTCATTGATGTTCTTCGAACATGTCAAGCTGCTACCAATTGTGGGTCAAGAGGTTGAAGTATTGGGTTACATGAGATCTTTTTGCCGCAAGTCATGGAGTGTGCTCTTCATTGCAAACAACTCAGATGAGTTATCTACTTTGGAGCAAATTTCTTTTGTTGCATCCCAAATCTCCTTTGCTGATCCAAATAGAAGAAAGTTCTCCCCCATTTCATTTCTCATTGAGTTGATGAGCTAAGACATCACCATATTGTTTTTAGTTTTCCAAGCTCGATACTTTGGGTCTTCTTTTGGTGGAGGAACTGCCGCTCCAGTGAGGTAATCATCCTTCCCCTTTCTAAACATGAAAATTATTATCGGTTGCAAGCATGGGAGGTAATTCTGGCTATTTAGTTTATGCCCGGTGATGGACCCCACAGGGCTGTTCGTTCCACCATTAATTCCTATCCGAAAATTTTCAGGATTGGACATGATTTCAGATGTCATGGATTGCTGGCTGTTCATTCCTTATTTTGTCACTTTTGTGATGGTTTACTAACGATGATGAAGGTGATTCAGAGACGGCTCTGATGCCATGTTATTTAATAATTCTATATCTTGATTTCATTAGGTTACCAGAATTACACATATATAGTAGAAAGTTAAAAGAGTTGTGACCCAACAATTTGGGGAAGAATCCTATTCTGTCGACTCCATCAGGAAAGAAAGAGATTTACACTTATTTTATGGGATCCTAGAATCAAACGTAGATCCTGGTTATCCAGCTCCCACAATCTAAGAAACAAATCTTCTCTTGCAATCTAAGAGTTCTTCTCCTACAATCTAGGAAGCAAATCTTTCTAGAGCCAACTTTATTTAGGACTTCTACAATATCAAAGGACCAAATATCAGAAACAATACATATATCAATCTTCTGTAAAAGACTTGTTTTTGGAGAGTGAACTGAGCTATATTCAGTTTGAGTAACTAAGAATAACAAATCATATTTTTTGCTCCTGTGCCAATATTGTTTTCTATATGAAGTAACCAAAACAAGAGACAACTTCTTTTTTTGAGAGAAAAAGAGCAGTAGTTACCTTTGACACATGCGTCCCAAGACTTCTGTGCACACCGCAACATTTTAAGCATATAAAAACTCCAATATTTGCTGACCTGAAATGCAGTTCTTAACTGATCATTAATTCTCATTCTCACAACAAAAAAAAAAAAGAGAAGTTGTCAAATGATTCCATCAGCAACCTTCACTGTTCCCAACCACTAACCAAAACTTCCCATGATAAGTTTAGCATTTCAAGCATTGCGAACCCACAACTAAAACCAACTACTACCCTAAATAATTTACTTATAAGGTGAATAATATAGTTCTACATCATACATCAAGTCAACTGCATCTAGTCACAAGAACATAAGAGAGAATCAAGAAATGAAACAGTATATTAGTAATAAGTCTTACGCCCATTTAGGATCTGGAGCATCACAATCAGCACAAACACGATTATCACTTTGACGCAATAAATCCTTTAATCTTCTTTTACCTACATACAAGAAGGCATATTGTGCATTAACTTTAAAGTACTTGTGTACGTGCATGTGAAATTACCACGTTGTGCATCAGAAAAGAAAGACCAGGTTCTACAGATGAAAGAAACAGGGGGTGAGAAAGGTGTAGAAATTGTTTCCAAAATATGGTAGCAAACCAAAAAAAATTATATTAGCCAAGGCTGCTTGTAACAATATAGACGATGTCGGAACTATATAGTAATACTACAAGCGTAGGTCACAGACTCAAACAGAAGTAGAAAAGCATATTAGTTCTGTTGCATTTATATGCTACAGGGCCAACAAAAGCACTGCAATATGATAGAACCACCTTTATGCAAAATCCATTTCCTCCGGAAATGACATGAAGCAAATATGGGGAGAAACTTTGAATATTCCTAGCAGAAACATATCCGAGAATGTGTAAATTTCCACCTACAAAATTGAAGTTCCATGGAACCTCATACTATTTTGCAGTTAATATCCATGACCAACATCAGCAAGCTCTACATTAGCAAATTTCAAAATTTCTCTGCTACAAAATGCGTACCATTTCAATTACTTTTTGAGTACTATAATCATACCTGAAGAAGCCTTACCAATTTCCAATGGTCGGTTACTCATCTCTTCACTAAAAATCCACAATCATCCAGCAAAAGAAAAGCCTAGATTCAACAAAATATCCTCCAGGGTGGAAGGGGGAAAAGAAATGCAAACACATGTTTAGTATGGAGTCTAAACAAAAACCCAACAGAAAAGACGCGAATAGCAGCAAAAAGCTACGGTTCAAAAGAGACAAAATAAAAGCAAATACCACCCGGGCTTTCATTGTAATCATAACCTTGACCCACTTTTTCTCCCAGAGGAATAAAAGGAACCAGTGAAGTCTATAAAGAACAGCAGTAGTAGATCACAATTTACACAGAGGATGATGCGTTATAATCAAGGTTTGCACAAATCAATTACACGAAGTATAGAACTACAACTAACGCGGACGTACATCAGATCATTTGATTCAACATCAAACCAAAAACGTATTTAAAAACGTTCTAATACGTTCTCCACATTCAGCAAACGAGGGCTACAAAAATCCTAAGAAATCAAATTACAGCAGCTAAAAATCAATCTCCGAGAAATGATGTAACACACATTACATACGAAGAGTTAATGAATACTCGCACTGATCAAAACATATTTACATTCGCGTGAACGAGAGTATCAACCCCGCAGTGATCTCAATGATTGATTTAAACGAAGAGAAAGGAAGGAAAAGATCTCGATAAGGATTTGAAAATCACCGGTGAAATTGAGGTATCAAGACATTGAATCCAGAGGCTATTGAGATTCCGAGATTTGATTCTGCAAGCAACCCGGTGTAGAGCGAGCGAGCGAGCGAGAGAGAGGTGGAGTTTTCAGAGAAATCCGATGACAAAAGCTATGTACTTTCTGAGCTGACCACATGATGAAAGCTTCTCTTCTCTATTATTAATTGTTTATCATCATCCATCAACATTATTATTATTATTTATTTTGTTATAATTTAATTATTTTTCCTCACTATTTATTTTTTATTTAAAATAATTACATTATATTTAAATAAAATTAATAAAAACATTTTTTTGGGTAAAAAATAAAATAAACTTATGATTTAAAATAAATGAGATATTTTAAAATTAAATTATAATAAAAATATTAAAAAATGTTCATGTGCCGTTATTATTGTCACGATAATAAGTGCAAATAAGAATAAAACCAGCCGATAAGTTATGTTGGGACCGAACAAGTACCAACTAGTTACTTATGAATGTATAAAAAACAACATTAGCTAATTTGTGATTCGAAAATAAAATAAAATTTGTATATAATTACTCGTAAATTATTAGTATAATAAAACTAGTCGACTTGTAATTCAGAAACAAAACAAGTTATAAAAGACTTGTAAGTCGTGAGTCGTGAGTAAAATGAGCTCTTATAGGTTATTAATGAAATTCTTAAATAGCAAATTTAGAGAAGATGATATAGACACAAATTATATACGAACTCCTTAAATTGTATATACATTTCTCTTCCCTTTACGCTCGCTTTATTTATGTGAATGACTCGTTCTTATTCTTGAATTTGATATTATATCCTTTGTTGAGTATATAATTACATGGGTTCGTATGTTGAATTTGATCAAAGAAAAATTTTCTTTTTAGGTTGCATTTAGATTAAGTTGAATTCTCTTTAGAAATAAGATAGAAACTATATATTATTTAATAGCTTGAGAATTATATCCTTCAAAGAACTGTTAACGATATATTTGTAAATTGTGTTTTAGTGTGTAAAACTTGATCGAATCGAGTACATAATCCTTTCGGGCTTTTTATGTATATAGGGAAGTGGAAGAATGTGAGTGCTATTTACATTATGAACATTCGGCTAACGGAATGAGATGGTGATCATAACTCTTATGATTATAATACTAACTAAACATCTGTTGTTTCGGAATATGATGATCATGGCTAACAAATATTATGATCTATTTTAGCGAGAAACAACATTGTTGACATGAAGTAATATTGTGATGTCAAGGAGAACAAAACATGTAATCACAAAATAGAAATGCTAACTTACCGCGAGTGTTTATTAAACTATTTCCTGTTCTCGATGAATCCTAGAGCAATTACAGCTGTTCATGTAACTCGAAGAGGCCATTTGAATCTTCTGCATTTCAGAATGAGAAGAAAAGCATTATGGTGATAACAATCTTCACAATCACCTAAAAGGAAAACATTATTCAAACTACAATCACCTAACAGGGAAGACGGCTCCTGTTGAGGTTCTCTACGACCAATCCAAAGATGGTGACTTTAATCTCACCATAACTTACATGTTTTTTACTGTTACATCTCGTTTAATAAAACGAAATGCAATGGTAACAGCAGCACTAGTTGCAGTGACTTACCTAAGTCGCCATAAAGTTTTCCTCTCGACAATGTCAATACACCTCCACATGCCATTGTTTGTTCTTTTTCAGTTGTGAAAGTTTGGTATCCCAGTTTTCACCTCTCTGCTCCGCAACTCTCTTCAACGTGTCTTGAATTCCTGGCATCATCCCCTTAAGCCCGCAGAAATATATGTGGGCACCACCATCCAGCAGTTTGAAGATTTCATTGCTGTATTCCTCAATCTTATCCTGAACATACATCTTACCCCCATTCTTGTTCTTTTGTTCTCTGCTCAATGCCTTGTCGTAACGGAAGTTATTGGGGCAGTCCTGAAGATACTTGGTGAATTCGTCATCATATAGAAGACTGTCAGTATTAGCAACCCCAAGGAAAAGCCATGCAAGGCCACCAAACTTGAATGTAGGGACATCTTCCATGAACATTCGCCGGAGGTATCCTCTAAATGGAGCTATACCAGTACCAGTAGCTATCATTATGTGAGTTGCATTTGGGTCATCTTCAGGTAGAAGCATTATCTTTCCAGAGGGACCTGGAAAAAGATTCTAGTTTAGTACCTTGAACTGTGAGTGATATCATAAAAAAATAAGCCAAACCGAATACGAGAAATCTGAAAGTTTATGAATTCTGTAGGTGATTGAGCTAACTTATTTAAGGTAAAATAAACCATAACAACAAAGCCTAGATCTTTTCAATCTCACTCCATACACCATTTCCCCTTCATCTATTGTGCTTTCAATATGAGGTTCAATTCCCATACCCGAAAAAGAAATACAAGCCTTAAATGGAAGGGGGGAAAACCAAAGGAGAAAAGCACAAATATAACAACAATTTAATTCAACAACTTTTTTGCTTGCCAAAATCTTAAGATGGTTCAACATCAAAACTGGAAAGACATGCGACTTCAATTTAGATATATGCTATTCTTATGTATCATAGATGACAGATTAAACCAAATAAATTGTAAGAGTTTGTCTTTGATTGATCACTCTCACCATCACAAAACCAAAAAGGCAAAAACCTATAAAGAAAAGAAGACAACAAGTGTTCCACAAAAGGGTTTAAAATTGGAAGCAAGTAGAAACATTGCAGACTGACACGTCCACCTGGTTTCTTAGGATTTTCACCCTGTGAAACAATTAATCTGGAAAAAGTTACACATCAGGAAAGAACAAATTTGCCAAGTGTTCCACCCAATGAGAACTATCAATCTCTAGAGTCAAGCAACCTCGTCCTCTCCAGTGCTTAAATGATAAAATTGCAAAAGAACATGAAGTCAGGAAAAAAAATACTGGTAGATGCTGAACATTACCAACTTTACAAACAAAATAATGGAGAGTAAACAGAAGGCCGGAAGTAGAGAGCTTTAGCTCACAAACACATCTCTTTCATCAAGTGAAGAAAATATCAAGTGAAAATGGAATATTTGACATGCTTTTTAACTTTGTTTAAAACTCAACCCTCCTTTCCACAACTCACTTGAAAGAACTGCACATGCTCACCCACTTCTTGATTGTAAAATATTCTTATCAATTAATTACACTGGCCAATCCTTTTATGTCCAAGTATCCATTATCACCCTATAATCTATATTCACAACAATGGAACCATTATTTGAAAGAAATAAGTGAAGATATTAACAAATTCAAGTGTCAAATTTTTAATCAATTGAAGTAATACAGGTAAAGGAAAAAAAAAACTAAAGAGATGGCTTCCACCCATTTTCTAGACTGTACCTGTGATCCGAACTTTATCTCCAGGCTTGCTGTTACATAGGAAGTTGCTGCATACACCACTTTTTGAAGGATCCTCCTCCCCAGTTTCAGGATCATAGTAGAGAGCCCGGCGGACACACAAACTTGCTGTCTTGCCATCAAAAAAATCTCCATATCTGGTTGATGCAATCGAATACAGACGAACATTGTGAGGCGCCCCTGGTTTCTTAGGATTTTCACCCTGTAAAACATTTTTTTTTTGAAAAATTAGCAGAAGAAAAATGAAGTTTCATGTACATGGACGGCACCCCCTTGGTGCCTTTTAATATATTTCTCCTCTTTTATTTCAAAAAAAAAAAAAGAAATGAAGTTTCACCCTGTAAAACAATTAATCAGAAAAAAGTAAAATTACACATCAAGAAAGAACAAATTTTGCTGAGCTACCACTTGATGATTATGGACATTGCTAGGACATTAAACTGGCATAAATAGCAGCATCATCATGCAGCCTAACAATCAACATATACAATACTCCTATTGACATTCAGCAAGCAAGATAAATTGTTGATGGAAGACCATTGATCAATCTTCAATTTAAATATCATCATTTATGAATTCGTTGAGATTTTACTTTATTGCAAATACTGACCATCAAGAAGGAAAAAAGTCCATTTGGTAAGGAGTAGAAACAAAATAACCAAGGTATTAAATGAAACCAAAAGAACTTACGGGAGGAATAACACCATAGCTCTGTCCTTCCCAATATGGAACATTGCCACCATGATCGATCACAATATGACAAGTTTCACCTGGAGCTTCGGGCCCAACAAGCCTCTCAACAGAAACAATTGTTGCGGTGTAAGGTTCCTTGGGCTTGTATATATTTAATGGGGGCTCTTTGGCATCTTCTAATTTTGAAGGAGCCACTGCAATCTTAGACCTGCTGGCTTGTTGCACTGACATGCGCACTGTGAACTGATTTGTCTTCCTTGCATTTCTTAATTTTAGATCCAATCTTAAGACAGGAGCCCATGACTTATTACTCAAGCTTATATTGTGTGTCTGCAAAAAAGCATAGCACAACTCTATTAAGAATTGATTTATCATAGGCTACCAACATAAAATATTTTCCTTGTAAGAAGCTTCTACGACCTAGAAGTAACAGTAAAACATGTTCAGAAAATCAATGCCTATGCATCAACAAAAAGCAAGACACTTTTACTCAACCTTGTCATGTAGGTGAACTAGCGAACAGACTGCAGAATAGACTGAAATCAATATATGTGTGGAAGAATGGTCATAATATGATAATAAGTTAAAAAAAAAAACATGGAACTCCCATATACCACTTCCTACGGTGTTTAACACACCGGACAAACCAAGATGGCTGTCTGTTAGTATGTTGTTCGTTACATTTTGCCTATTATGAGCACCTTCAGTGAATGGGCATTAATTATACGTGGATGCATTTTAATAATTTCAAGGTTTTGAAGGAGTTAAGATCAAGCAACACAAATCAATTTATTCTACCTTGCTGCGTGCAAATTCAAGATCCTAATAGCATCAAAGGGGAAATATTTGGAGGAAATGACAGCAATACAGCTTTTTTTACACAAATTTAAACAGAGAAATGACTTGAAAAAGAAGTTAAATAAAAAGCCAGGGCCTCAGGAGGAAGATGGCATATCTGAAATACATAGAAAATGCCATATTTCTTAGTGAAAAATAGAGTATAGGAATATCTCAAGCCTAAGATAAATAGACAAAAACACAGGCCAATAAATGTTTCAAGCATTAGATAAAGCATGGGTGAGGAATGAAGTAACATTTACTTAATTTGATAAATTCACACTAGAACTAGCAAGTAACAACATTTTCCCACCATTTCTATAATTAACTTTCATAAAATGTCGGGTGTCATCACGCTATTCATGATGAGTCAGAAAGTGTTCAAGCCGATTAATAATATAACCATTCAAATAACATCCATGGTATTGAATACCAAATGGATTTTCAAGAACAAAATATAAAACTCATTTACCACCTTATTCATAAAGCACACTGAAGTCTGTAAAATCACTGTAACCAAGTCGTAGGATCCACACTTACTCTTGTTCAAAGATAAAGCCACAACAACATTACTAAACATATTGGACACAGAGTAGCTCTTCCTTTACTCTTGTTGAAAGAGATGTCCAATTACAAAGGGAAGCAAAATCAATCTGTGCATTAAACCCCGGTACTGTTTTTTTTTTTTTTCCTTTTTTTTTTGGGAGAAGCTGATAATGAAATATTAAAGAAGGGGAACAAACAGACAAATTCAAAATCCAATCGGTATCATTTGAAAGTGTTTGTTTGCTGCCAAGAAAACAGAAAAGCTATCACTTTCAAATGAAAATCGCATAGCACCATCATCCCTTCAATTACTTAACAAACAGAAAGATCATAGTAAATTAGTTTACCTTCAACACAGATTTCCTACGGATCGTATCGCTCCCAACAGGAACAGCTACAGCAACCTGCAACAAAACTCACAAACCAGTCAGCCCAATCTCCAAAAACGACTGTACCCAGAAAAGGAAAAAACAAAAAAAATAAGCCAGTGAGAAAATGCAAGGAAATAAATTCCAATCCATTTTGGTTTTCTTTCTCTGGGTTTTCCCGGCGACCAAACAAGAAGTGACAAGACTGAGATAATCAAAATGGGGTAATGGGTTCTGACCTGAGTTAGAGCTGACTGAGCCATGATGATCGGATGAAAGATCGAGAGAGGCAGAGGTTTTTGGGGAGGGACAAGACGGGAGAGTAAGATCTAAGGGCTAATTATAGGGGTTTAGTAATCCGATCGGAGAATGCAGAGACAGAGAGGAGATTGTAACAGTAAGATTGATCCTTTGGGAATGTGCAAAAGACAATTTGCTTCTTTCTACTCTGGCTCCTCACCCTACATCAAGTGTTGCTCCCTAATTATTTTAATTCTTAATTAGAGTTTATTTAATTTTTCCATTAATTAAAATTATATAATTTGATATTAAATATTTTTTTATATTTGGTTTTTGAATTTCTAAGAAAAATTATACAAAAAATTTCATTAAAAAATCAATATATTTATATATATATATATTTATGTTTTTATTATTAATTCATGTGGGTTTTTAATAAAATTAAAATAATATTAATTATAATATATGATAATGAAAAATTCATAAAAAATTACATATTTATTCATAAATTTAAATAAAAATATTTGTAAATTAAAAGTTTATTAATTAAAATAATTTACTATAATAATTATTAAGCATGTACTCAATAAAAAAAAGGGATATATAATATATAGTAATCATTCGCTAGGTATGCGTTGCAGGGTTATTTTATATAAGGTGAAAGAATGTGAGGTAGAATCCAGAGGGAAGGAAAATAGCATATACCATGGGGGCAGAAATACACATGAAGTAATAAAAATAAAAGCATTGGGAGGTAAAAAGGGCTCTATACGAGTTAATGGATAGGTGATAAATAAAGAATAATTTAATGATATGCTAGCTGTTTTAAAGGTAGTACACATAAATAATCAAATGAATGATGCGATATCATGAGTATACTTGTCTTCATTGGATCATATTAATTAAATCTAAATATATAATTAAATCAATAAATTATGTACATATATGTATGTAGTATTTTGTTTTGGGAAATATGAATATATTAAATTAGTTAAAATTAATTAACAATTTTAATAAAAAATAAATACTAAATTTATTTAAAAATAACAGTCTCCTCGATCATCTTTTTATTTCTTTGACTGCTAAAGAGAATTTTTTAATCCGTCATAAACTTATTTTTCTCAAGATTTCTAATCGCCATTGATAACACCTCAAGAGCATACCTCTTGATCCCGAGTACCGAGTTTACTACCTTGAGAATACTTTTTCACCGTTATCGTTTTATTCTTTGTTCGTGATTTTATTTTTTCCATCTCTTTCTTGGTTTATTTTTTAGTTTCTTTATCGTGTCGATTCTTATAGTTTTTTTTTTTGTTACTAAGAAAGCGAAATGAAATTGTGATGGCGAATAACACAACAAATTTTGTTTTTTTTTTTTTGAGATTGTGTTTGGTGGGTAGGGAGAAAATTCGATGAAGGAAAAGAAAAACAAGAGTTTGAAAATCTTTCTTGTAATTTCCGTAAAACAAAATTTTTTAGCTCTACAATTATATGCCTTAAGGGAGCGATTAAACCGTTGTCTGTATTCAATTTTGTATCTCTAACGTGCATATGTTTATATTAGTTTTTATTAACAATATATCCAATAAGTTAAAATAAATTAAAGTCGGGTTTTAAAATAATAAAAAATAATTTTTTTTTTTACTTATTTAGTATTTTTCAAAAATTAACACAAATTATTATTCGTCTGTAATATTACCTTTTTGATAAATTTAAATTATTATCTACGAAAACACTATTTTTATTGTGTCTTCGAGTAGTCAATATCTATATTAACGAAAATCTAAACATAAATTAATAAAATTTACTTATAAAAAATATAAGCATGCATGTTTTTGTTGTTTTAAAATAAATTTAATTTAATAAAAAATAAAAAAAGTTGAGTTTACATGACAAGAACATAGAAGAAAAGTAGGAAATAACCCAATATTCCAAAGAGAAGATTACATGCAAGGTTGCCTTTCCTCCTTTTTGTTTTGTCAGCGAGAAGAAAGCTAATTACATGATTAGATAAAACCAGGAATCTTACTTTCTGATCACTTGATCTCTTTCTCCATTCATTTTGTCTGCGAGCTAAGTAAAATCAACATCGAAAGTGAAGGAAGCTTCTCCATCTCCAACAATAATTGAATGTTGACCGGCCGGCAACACAGCGTGTGCTTGGTAATCCACGATGCTCAAAGCCTTGCACGCATTAAACTGAAACGGCACTGTGACTGTCTGTCCTGCACGAATACCGACTCTCTTGAAACCAATCACTTGTTTGATGGGTGCTCCAAGAATTCCTTCAGGTGCTTTGGAGTAAACAATCACCACTTGGTCACCGTCTCTTGTTCCTGTATTCGTGATTTGGATTTGTGTGTTAATGGTGTAGTGAGTGTCACATGCAAGACCATCTTCGATCTTGACAGACGGGCATGTAGGCTTTTGGGCACCTGGTCTGTAGTCGATGTCATGGCAGTGTTGGAGTTTGGTGAGCTTTACTTTGAGTGATTGGAGATTAAGGGGTTGAATTTTGTAGGTGAATTGACTATAGCTAAGGCCGTAGCCGAAGGGATACACTGTCGTCCCATTGTAAAATTTATAAGTTCTACCTGGGTAACTTAAGTCATCTACTGGTCTTAACTGCATAGATGTCATTGGTAGCTTCTCCACATAGCTGCCTTCGTACCAAGTGATCGGTAATCTTCCTCCTGGTGATTAGTAGTTTTATAACCAATTAGTACCCATTATATATATATATATAAGTATGTTTGTAAGTATGTATTAATATATTTGTATATATTATCTAGTTGGGTATATACTTTTTTTTTGGGTAAAAAAGTATATATCCAACAATCTTTTAACGAGGTCATAGAAAAACATGTCCAATTCAAACTCACAGTAGATAAAAGAATAATCAGCTACGTACCAGGATTATAAGTCCCAAAAACGACATCAGCAATCGCACGACCACCTTCTTGTCCAGGGTATCCAGCCCATATAATAGCTTTGATTTTGGGATTGTTCTTTGCGAAAGTGATATCCACTCCACCGGCTGACATTATGATAAGAACAACTGGACCTTTGGCAGCATCTGCAACTTGGTTAATGAGTTGAGTTTGGAAACCTGGTAAGAAGAGATTTAGTCTATCCAAGCTTTCAGCTTCGACCTTGAGATTTAGTCCCACCACGATCACAGTAGCATCGGCAACCTTTGCAGCATCAACAGCAGCGCCTATAAGTTTATCGTTATTGCAAAGTACATCTTCACATCCTTGCTGAGTTTGTACTTTCGTATACGTAGAGAATCCATCGACGGGAGTAACATACCGACACGGATCGCCTGCCAATATTCATGATTTTTTGTGGCACCCATAAGTTGATGAATAATATGTATTTACAATATTGTAAAAGATAGTTTATATAAATATTTGGGTTGATGAGAATATATATATATATATAGATAGATACCTGCGTAATTTCCAATCATGACATCGGTAACTGTGGCATGGGGGCCGACTACGGCTAAGTTCTTGACTGCATTGCGATCGAAAGGTAAGGTTCCATTATCATTCTTCAAAAGAACAATTCCCTGTCTAGCTGCTTCTGCGGCTAAATCAATGTTTGAAGGAGAGCAAATGTCCTTTTTGCCAAGATTTTTGAATTGAGGAATTCCATCAAAATACCCAAGTCGCATCATCAACATGTAAAGATTTCTCAACGCCTTATCCACATCTTCTACTCTCACCTTTCCTTGTCTAATCGAGCTCATTGTAAACTTTGGGTAGAAGTCGCCACAGTCCAAATCCAACCCTGTAACATTAACTCCATCAATCAAAAGTCTGTAATACAAGACTAATTTCTTACTAGTTAATTAAAGTGATTACTTGCCTGCTTTTAGGGTTTGAGCAACGGCATCCTCATTCGTGTCATTGATAAATTGATGCTTGTTTACCATTACTTCAATGGAGTCACAATCTGATACTAAGTATCTGGTAGTTCATACATATATGTCAGTAACAAAAAATTGAATAGTAATATTATAAAATGCTCTTAAGACATGCATGTGATTAGTAGTGAAGTACCCGTGAAGACCCCAATCTCCTCTGACAGTCTGGTTCAAGAGTTTTGGGTCGGCGCATGTGGGTATGCCGTTGACACGATTGTAAGAACACATAATGCTACTGACATCACCTTCTTTAACACACATTTCAAAAGGCTTGAGAAAAGTCTCCACCATATCTTGCTCGGTCACCCTGGCATCGAAATGAAGACGATCGATTCCTTTCCAGTTGTCTACATCGTATGCAGCGTAATGCTTACAACATGCAGAAACCTTGAGTGGTCTTGCATTCAAGTCATGGACGTGTTCAGTTCCTCTAACGTCCTGTAAGCCTCTAACAAAGTTTGCCGCATATCGGCCAACCACAAAAGGATCTTCCCCGGGTGTCTCTTGAATTCTTCCCCATCTTGGGTCGCGAACTACGTTGATCACTGGGCTCCAAAATGTTAATCCGGCTCGACCTAGGTTGTACATTGCTCTTGCTTCATTTGAAATAACCTGTCACATACATTCTCGTAAATCAAGCGATACACATATTTTAATCACGATGCAACATAAATAAACTTACCAACCATTATTCAAATGGTACATAAACTATTAGAGATTTTCATAATTGGGCAATGCGAAATTATATCTCTTTAACATTGGTACCTGGCCGATTCTTTTCCATAGGTCCTCATTAAACGAAGCAGTCGAAAGGATAACTGTAGGAAAACTTGTTGCACCAGGAACCACTGCGTCGAAACGGGAGCCACCTCCGACGGATGAGACACCATGCAATGCCTCATTCCACCACTCGTACTTTGGCAATCCTAACCTTGGCACCCCGGGGGACGTACTCCCAAGTAGCAATACCTTCTCTTCCACCGATAATCGATCTACCAAATCCTCTACCCTCACGCTATAGGGAAGGGATGTGTCGCAGAAACCAAGGGTGGAACCGTCTAATTTTACAGCACTCAAATGTGCTGGATCACACACATAAGTGAAAAGAGGAGGCTCGGGCGTAGCATCATTGAGTTTATCAGACATTGTAAAATCTTCTGCAACAATGCATGTTAAACAAAACAAGCTATAACCCAGAGAAGCGTACACCATAAACTCAATAATTTTACCCATACTGGATTTGTGTAATCAATTCTTTGAAACTCAATTGATATGTTTAATCCAGTTTACCC